TGAATGAGCTGACTCCTTAAAGTGAGTTGGAGTCATTGAGTCAACTCCTTTAAATTTGCTGAGTTACCCACCCTTACAGCTGGCCTGGCCAATGGAAATTCACAAATTCGCTTGCAGCTGGGCCCAGAAAGGAAACCAAAACAAAACAATGACAGTAGCTGTGTTTAGCGAGCAACAAAAGAGTTGCCAGATGTATCAAAAGGAAATCAAGAATTTGTAACTAAGGAAACGGAAATACACTAGCGGAAAATGTTTGTATTTTACTCGCTATATACGAATACCGGGATTATACAACCGGAACTGAACAGATTTATCTGGCTAAAGCTGAAATTAGTCAAGAACGTAAACCTACCGGTACGTAAACGCGAGTCAGCTAACACGATGTGTCTTACCAGAGCGCCAATGTAAATGAAACCTCAACACTGCAGAATTTTTCTCTAGTTGTAGCCCGTAGCGCAGAAATCACCGGGATTTAGATTTTTCCATGTCAGCTGATTTCTTCCATCTATAGATGGTTGCCAGGTTTGCAGATGGTAAAAAAGTTATAATTTCCTATTCAAAATACGTTTAAAATATTTGAAATTTACTATTGAATAAGGTTTTTTGTTGAAAACCAAGTAGTTTATTATAGCATGAAAAATTGTAGTTGAAAAGGTAAGTTTATGACAACGCATTGATGAGTGGCAACACTGTAGTAAGCAACACTGAGCGCTCCAGTAATCAACAAAATTCTGCGTATACAGACTGCGTTTAAGTATACGTTCTGCATTCTTGTCTAATTTCAGCTTAAACACTTTCACTTCAGCAACGTTTCCTTAAACCGTTTTATGAAAAGAGTTGGTATTGGAAAATTAATAAACTTGTTAGTGATCGATTTGTATTTGCACAAAAAAAAATACTATCTATTAGTTCCATTTCTTTATTCACTTTGGAAAATGGAGGCGTTTACATTGCGATTAAACAACATTAAAATTCAATAAAATTTTGACGAGTTCATTCCAGAAAGGCTGGAATTGTGTGAAAATCACAATTATAAAAACAGTAAAAACATTTAAATTAAAACCGCACTTTTTCATGTTCAGTAAACAAATTTAACAGATGTTGATATATGCGTTCAAATCTGAAATTAAAAAAGATTAGACAAACGAATTTCAAACATTTTTCACTAGCAAACTAAAATTTCAATATCCATTACATAGTTCTTATTCACCTGTTATCAGTTATGCCACGAAAAAATCCTTTCGCTAATTTGGACATAGCTTCGTGTTTGAAGACATAACTGTGCGCCAAATAGGCAATATTTAATTGTATCATCAACTTGGCGAACGGAACTCTTTTGAGGAACGCAAACAGTCTACCTTCAGGTTGTTTATTATGTTGATTACAATAAAATTGCCAAGCCGCTTGAGTAGCTACCACAAGAGCCAGCACGCTGAATGTTATCTTGCCCAGAAAGAAGTATGAAAGGCCGCCCAAACCAGCTGCTAGCAGATGTTGTGGTGTACCATAAGTTGAGTTTGAATAGCGAGTTAGCACACAGCTGGATAGCTGCAAAACACATGTGTTTGAATTATTGAAACTAATGTATAAATCGGGTTTCACACTTACTCTATATATTCCCACATAGGACAGAAAAAATTTAGTCATATTGAAACGTATCATTTTCAGTTCTTCTAAACTTCGTGGTGGTCTTCCCTTGGTGATAGTGCTTAACAAATCTAATGGCACGCCATACAATAAATACTTTCTCATGCCTTCCAGAATGAAATGACAACATGTTTTCCCTTCATGTATGCAAGATCCGGCTTTTTTGAGATCCTCATAGTTCTCTGATTTCTTTTGTTGTGCTCCAGTAGTGATGGGATTAA